GGAGGGAGGGAGGGAGGGAGGAAGGAAGGAAGGAAGGAAGGAAGGAAGGAAGGAAGGAAGGAAGGAAGGAAGGAAGGAAGGAAGGAAGGAAGGAAGGAAAGAAGCCACAATAATAGGTTGAACTTTCAGAAGGAGATAACAGAATTGTGGTTACTAGAGGTGGGAAAGGGAGAGGGAGAGGCAGGTTAGGGAGAAATTGGGTTATGGACATGAAGAATAATTGTGATTTGTTAATGGTGAACAAGCTAATAATACCGATTTGATCATCACATACTGTACACAAATACTGATATTCAACTCTGTACCCCATCTATACCCCATAAATATGTATAATCAATTATGTTTCAATTAAAAAATAAAATTAGATTTAAAAAATATCAATATCTAAGAAAAGCATGCAAAAAGAAAGCCAAAGTATTATAAGAATAGTGACAGCTTTGAAGATGAATGCCTTGTGCCCTCGTTTCTATATATGCCACTTTACAATAATGCTTAATTATTTGTTTAAAAAGAGTACCAGCCCAAACAGATTCCAAAATAGCAGATGTTTTTATTTCATTTCCTCTCAGCTTCCTCTTGCTGACTTAGCAAATTATATGTGGAACAACAACTAATTATCAGAGCTTCCCAAATAAATGTTTCGTAATTCTTTCTCACTGACCTGGAGTCCTGGCACTGCAGCAGTAATCAAGGAATTAAGAAACAAAATTAATGGGAATCCTACTACAGGTTCACAGTTCTTTAGAGCCAATTCCCTTAGAGCCAGATGTATTTCAGAATTCAGAATGTTCTGGATTTTAGAAAAGTAAAACAGTGCCTATGATGTAAGACCCCAGTGGGGTCTGCATACATAAATCAAAAACATTAATATCTGTGTCAAATGCATGAATAGTCATATTAACTAAAATACATAAAGACTAAATAGACTCATGTTAATCTAGTCCAACTTCACTATCAAATGAATTTAAGGTCATGTTAATCAGGTATTGTTGCCAAATGAGTTACAAAGGCTTACAAAGCTTTCTATTTTTCAGAATTATGAATGAGGGATCATGGACCTGTACTAGTTGTCATGCCTTATCTTTAACTAAATCCTATAAAATGGCTGGGCTACAGCTTAGATGATCTGGCACCAAAATGGCACCCTGTAGGTTTGATTATATTCCCTTTCTTAAGGAGGACAGGAAATGACCCTTGATGCCTGTAGGATGTATCACCACTGGGACTGTATAGGTGTAGCTGGAAAGACTTAGAGAACATCAGCATATGTGTACGTTGGGGATGTTGCATGAACAGTAACTTTACAAGGCAACATTTAATTATTGCTCATTTTCATTTTTGTTTTTTCTCTACTAGACAGTACTAGTTAACACTAGAGTTGATCCTTCACATAAAACAATCTTGTTTATTAGAATGTCCAAATGTCTGAGATGGTTAGGACCAAGGGCTCTTGACTGTGACTCCCTTGGTACACTAATATGTATGTAGCCCTGGGCAAGTTACTTAATTGCTCTGTGCTTTGTTTTCAGGATATAACAGAACGTACCCTGTAGGCATGTTGGAACATTCACATGAGCTACTTATGTGCTAAGTGCAGAGAGTTGTACCTGATACTAAGAAAGCACTCTACAGAGTTACATTTTTTTGTTAGTGTTGTTGACAGTGATCTCTAGACCAGTGGTCCTCAGTTGGCAGTGATTTGCCCACCATGAGAGATTTGGGAGACATTCTTGGTTATCACAACTGGAATGTAGAGGGTGGAGGCCAGGCATGTGCTAAATGTCCAGCAATGCACAGGATGACCCTTCACAATGAAGAATTATCCAACCCAAAATGTCAACAGTGCCAAGGTTGAGAAATCCTGCCCTAGACTATTATACTTTATACATGAGGAAATGTATATCAAAGAGATTAAATAGTTTTTCTAGTTAACATAAAGCTGGGTTGAAATTTTTCATCTCCTTATTCTTAGTAGATTTTTCTTTAGTGGGAAAGACAAAATGGACCTCCTTCCCACCTCCCCGGCTCACGCCACAGCCCCCCCAAAATTACAAAAGTCACTTCCAAATGCTGGCTAGGAACAAAATGCAGTCTAGACCCAGTTATGGCTCATTGGTACTATAGTGGAACTCAGGGGTCAAGTAAACTATGACCTGTGGGCCAAATCCATCCTGCTGCTTATTTTTGTAAATAAAGTTTTATTGGAACACAGCCACAGTCATTTGTTTATATGTTGTCTATGGCTGCTTTTTTGCTGCAAAAGCAACAGAGATTGTATGAATAAATGCAGCAGAAACTGTATGACTTGCAAAACCTAAAATATTTACTATCTGCCCCTTGACAGAAAATGTTTGCTAACCTCTTGCTATATAAGAAGTCATTTCGAGTACTCCTTGTTAGTTATATCATATATCATGAATGATTTAAAACCATTTAAGTACAATAATTGAAGTACAATTTAACTGGTTTAATGTCAAGGAAAACAAAATATTCAGCAACACATGGGTGCAGCCCCACTAGGACATCTATATTTACCTGTATTCTTTCTTCAAATAATGGTTAGCTCGTTCCAAACACGTTATTAAATCTGTCAGAAAGATAGCTGCAATTAGCAAACTGAATGGAAATCGGGACACTCCTGCTGCAATAAGGATTTCTTTTTGAATAAAAAAGACAACTTTTAAAAAGCACTTATTATCTAGTTATCTGGATTTTCCTGTTTTAAAATAAGCAAAAACTGAGAACATTGTCCCCAGTATTTGATGGATTCCTTTCATTTCTCTTTTTTGCCACCAACAAGTTTTTCAGCGTTATTATCTAGTGAATGATAACAGAATCTATTTTCAACAGGAAAACCAACACTGGTTAGTTGCTATCCACTACTTGCCTAAAAACATTATGTGTATAAACCTCTCCTGATAGGGGAAAAACAATTTCAAAAGCCCAATGTGGTTCATTGAAAAGGTTCCCAGGAATATTTTAGTTCAGCAATTTAGCCAGTGGCATTTAGTGACACATAGACAGATGTTCACTGAGAACACCAAAAGCATATCAACTTTGATCAATTGGACCAAGCATTTAAAAGAGAGGGAGCTCTCTGGAGTCATTTATGGAACCAAAACAATACTCAGCAATGGGGAAGCTAAGATACTGTGGATCTCGATGCATTTAGATCAACCTAGTATAGTGCCAAAAATATTCCACACTTGCTGTAACAGTTCTTTCTTTCTATAATAGTTCTTAGGGAGCAACATATGGTGAACACTGGCTACAGTGGGGCCTGCTGTGATCAGTCAGGTCTGATTGGCCCAGTGTGTAATGAATGGTGCACCCCCTTCCTAGTGTATTTCTGCCAAGGGGGACTGAGAGCAGACACCCTGGGCAGACATAGAGTGGGCTGCATGGTAATTACTCCAGAATGCAAGAGGCCAGGACAGGAGTTCACACTTTTCTCTCTCATCAGTGTTCATGTTTCCCTGCCCTTGTCTTCTGCTCAAATTTCAGCTCCACAGTTAAGATACCATGTGACAGTGACTTCCTCACCCTACCCACACTATGCATACTTCCCATGCTGGTGCAAGTATGTGCCGAGGGTGGGGGTAGACCACTGGTTAAAAGGCTTGTCCCCTAAGCTAGGAAAGGGGTTGGGGGTTCTCCAGAGCCAGGCCTTAGAAGTGTCAGGAGGGTAGCCCCAAGCATGTGCTATTCAAGGTTTCTAGGAAAAATGAGATCAACCCTATATCACATAAGTCAGCTGCTCAATCTAACATGTGCTGTAAAATGATTCAGTTTGGACCTAACTACTTACAAAGACACTGCATTCCTCACTTCCCTCACATCTTAATTCTTTCCAGAGACAGTGATAAGTAGCAAGAGAATTCTTAGACAGATAAGGTTTACAGATTTGTGTTGATTCTTCTGCTATACCTGGATGGTCGCTGCTGGCATATGTCAGCAAAAAGCCCCGACCTGAAATGTGGGATCCACTCTCAAACCGAACAGTTACTTCACTTGTATTCAGCAAGAGTTCTTTGGGAACAGTCGTACTTCCACAATACGGACCTAAAAGCAAAGCACACTTGTGGCACATTTCAAAATTTACACCAGCACAAACTGGCATGTGGGGTTTGTTTTTCCACTTCAAGGTGAAATTTACCAAACAACACATATGTAATTCTAATCTTTAGTCAATTAAAATTTCGTTTGACATTGAGACTGATAATTTGTGACCGATTGTGAACTTGATTGTACAGCTACGCCAAGGGGAGAAAGTAGATTACTCTAGATAAGCAATAGGCTAGAACTAGTTAATTGTGAACAAGCCAAGAGACAGGTTTTGTTTTTTGTAAAAAAAGAGACTAACAAAGTCAAATACATTATGTAGTAAAAAAAAAATTTATCACAAAAATTATATTCTAGGAACCTGCCAAATTTGCTAAAAGAAACTTTTAAGGAGGTTCCAGAATTAAAAGACTGCCTAATGCATGCTAAAAATCTTACTCACACACAGTGCACACATTTAGCTCTCTCTTACAGTAACTTCTGGTTAACCCACATAATTTATTTTGATTTGTAAAAAATTTTGCCTTTCAAAGGGCAAAATTAGATTTGGAGCTTAAGAAAAAAAACATCCTTCCTAAGACTTCTCAAGGTAAAGTTTACCTTGTAAACTGACATCTTGAAAGTCATGTATGCATGATAATCTCTATAAAATAGGGATCGAGCTTCATCAACTTCTCCCTAAATAAAACAATATGGAAACGGTCAACAGCAACAACAACAGTCGGGTTAAGGAAGGAAGAGGAGTGGAAGAAAAAGATACTCCAACTCAGTATGAATAAAACTGGGTCACACTAACCATTCAGCAGAAGATCATGAACCCAGGTAAGCATTCCTCTCCTGGTGTGGGCTTACCCTTATGCCCCAAATCTCTGTTGTTCCCTGTTATTAAATTATAGTGAAATCTAAATAAAAGAGATCACTTCTCTTTTTAGAAATTCTCACCCTACTTAATTACTTACGTGAGTCAATACTTGCAAATTGTTTAGCATAATATCTAGCACATACCGAGAGTTTGATAAGTGCTTGTTAAATAAATAAATTAATTAAAAAATAAACAACTAAATAATGTCTGTTTTCTCTTTAGGCTGTGTTCCATGGGGTAAGGAACTTATGTATCCATCGCTTTATCTCCAGAAGATTGTATAGTACCTGGCAAGTGGCAGCCTCCCAAATATTATTTGAAATGGGATGGCTGGTTAGCTCAGTTAGTTACAGCGCAGCTTTGTAACACCAAAGTCAAGGATTTGGTTCCCCATACCAGTCAGCCACCAACAAACAAACAAACAAACAAACCCAATGTTGTTTGAATTGAAATGTTCTATTTGCAACAGTTTGTAAAAGTAAAAGTGAATTAGAAAGATATGCAAATATTTTTAATTTTGTCATTTTGAAATACCATGGAGTGCTACCTGGTTAGCTCAGTTGTTAGTGCCAGCCACCTTATAACACCAAGGCCACAGGTTCAGATCCCCATACTGGCCAACCGCCAAAAAAAAAAAAAAGGAAATACCATGGAGAAGTCAGGAAGAGAAGTGTGGAGAGCAAGGAAAACAATTGGTGTAATGGATAATTTGGATGTTTATAAACTTTCATATTGCTCACAAGCATGGTAGATAGGCAATTTAGACCAAAGCTATTTCTGTATAATGAAGTAGGATGATAAGTTGTTTTGCAAAATTAAAGTGAGTCAGATTGTTTGACTTTTCCAACTTACTCTCAATTTGTTTTACATATGTTTGAAATTCCTTTGTTCTTTGCACAGATAAGAGAGGTAAAGATGCTTACTTTGTAAACCTAAGGATAAAAATGAAATAACTAGTAACTTGTTGCTATCAATAAATTAGAATATTTTTCTACCCACATGTATCTTTTATACTCATATACTCCTCTTCAAATGGTGGTAATGATATTAATCTCTCCTTAAATTTCTAGAAAATTCCAAGAAGTTCTAATAAAAACTGTGAGGTAAGCAAGTCTAAATTGATTACCAGTGAGTACTGTTTGGATTTTTTTTTTTTTAAGATTTTATGGAATAGTTGGAAAAAAGGTTGCAAAATTGAGTGTTTTTACACAAGTAGATAAAAGTGTATGCCATCACATTAAGTTGTGCAATACATTTGATTTCCTAGGCCCAAAACACATAAATACTAAATACCATAAAACTTTAATTTGGTTTTATCCTCCCAAAGTTATGATAGGCACGTAAATATTTCTGGAAGAAGTTTAAAGAGAAAATGTAAACACATACTCCTTTAATTCCCCTTATCCTACAGACACCAATCTCTCTCACCTTCTTAATAATGTACTGCAAAAATGTAACTAAATCCTAAAGGGGATAGGATATACCTTCTTTACATACATGTCATCATTAAAAGTTATTTGGGGCTGGGCCGATAGTAGTGAGTTATCAGAACTTACTAACACCAATGTCACTAAAGTTGTTATAGAACCCCTGGCCCCTGTTAAATCGGACTGGCTTAAAAAAAAGAAAACAAAACAAAAGTTATTTTGATAGTTTCAGCATAATCACAACCATCACAATAGCAAGAAGGAGTTTTAGTTCGGGGTGGGGACAGCAGTTGAGTACTGGCTACAGTATTGCCTGTGGCAAAACAGCCAAATTACTGCCTGTCTCAAGGTTTGACAGATAAGATTCCTTTTCAGAGACTAGAAGTTAATAACTACACTCTGAAAGTTAAAAGGGAAAAGAGATGAAAATGAAAACATGTGATTTGCAGTGAAGGGGAAAAATAATTAATGGGAAACCTTGGAAAGACCCAACGAGTCTGTCCTAAGCAATGCTCTCAGTTTTTAGGCAGAGTGCTTTGAGGATGGTATCTTTCCTTATGAAAGCTTTTCTCCACACCACCCCTGCCCCAAACAATATACTTCACTTTTAGTACCCTCCATCCTGACTTTTAAAAAGGGTCTACACCTATGTTTAGACATATACAAAGACAATTTCATTGGAAACCCAAATAAGAGTTTGGTGACATCTAACTTTGATTGTAGATATATCAAGTAGGCAGGGAAATCAGGAAAAAAGGAACACCTTTACCTTTTGGGGAATGTAATTTGCAGCCCTAGATTGCGGAAAGAGCTATCAGCGATACCAAATGGAACAGCATTGTGGCATTTGGCACCAGACATGAGACCAAGACCTTGCAGAAAATGGACTGATTCCTTGGACAAAAGGAATAAAGGGCCCAGAACCACAGGAGCTGCCTTCTTTGAGTACAGAAGGCCAGGTCCTCTAAGCACATCCCCTGTTTGGGGCTACTGTTCCATGAGCAGCTGAGAGGGAAACCCTTTATCTTTCCATGTGTGAATGAAAGAAAGCTGTTTTACAAGGAAGAATAAACCGTCCGCCCCAAGACAAGCCTGGAATTTTCTTGATTCTCTGGCAATCTGACAATCTGTGCAGCAATTTATAGCTTTTCCATTCTCCATGGACTGCCTGCCTAAGACTCTGGGCATTACAAGGCAATAATAGTTTGGTTAAAAACTGTTCCAAGTTATACAGTTTTGATCTTGAAACTGACGAAACTAAGCTATTGTTTCACCTATGAAAGGGATGTGTTTAAAAAATAGTATGCATGCTATTAAGAAAACACCTCCTTCCACCCCCATTATCATGCTGTAAGTGATTTAAAAAAAAACACTGAGAAACCAAATAAAAACCTAACTCCTGAGAGGTCCGTCATAAATCAAAAGTAACAACGATGACAAAAAGACAACAACAACAAAAAAAACTTCTAAAAACCCCAACTAACTTTTACAGAGCACCTTCTGAAGCACACATATAATTTTTCACGACAGATAAGAACATGCCTCATTGACCTAAGTGACCCTTTCTGTGAGTGCCACTGGCAGAGCCGGCCACAAGGCACACAATCAGCTGTCAGCAAAGTGGTAGCCAGAAGGCCCAGATTTGTGCTCAGAGGCATTGTTGGGAAAATAGAATACTTTGGTCAGGGCCCTCGCCTCGGGTCCCATTGGGTGTGGTTTAGCACATCCATTGTAAGCAAATTGTGTGTGTGCGGAGTTAGTGCACATGAATGCCAATGTATCTCTTTAGTTTTGTTGCTATGCTTGTGTTTGAGAGAGAGAGAGAGACAGAGAGACAGAGAGACAGAGACAGAGAGACAGAGACAGAGGAGTTTTAGTGAAGCAGGCAGGCAGACGTCCGCCCGGTGCAGTCATGCTTTCCAACCTGTGGCTCCAAGGACCTGATGGCCGGTTATTACCTAGCTCACAGACCTGTGTGTAAGCAGTCTGGGGACCCAGCCTGGCACATGAAGGGTTTGTGACCCAGTCTGTAAATGGGCTTGAGGGGTCTGTGAGCTCCACACCCAACCTTAGCTCGACAATTGGCCCAATCAGTGCAGGATTACCGGCAGGTAAAAGAGCCTGACAACTTGCGTGGTTGTGCAGCTAGACAATTGGCGTCATGAACAGGATTAAGAGCGCTACAGGCATGCTGATAAAACAATCTCCAGAAATGCTGAAGCTGCAAATGCCCTTAGATTTCGGTCTGTTTTCCATTTGTTTTTTCAATGCAGTCAAATGGCAAGGTTTGTTCTTGCTTGCTAATTGCAGTAGGGTCATTGTACAAAATAACAGAATTTTAAGGGCCGTTTTCTTTAAAAAGGAGGAAAATTAACATTAAAAAGGGGTATTCCTGGACTGTGCCATTAAAACCACAGTCACATAATAATGTAAGTGGTATCCCTGGAGAGTTTTGGTCTCTGATTCCCAGTAACAGATGTTAAATGAAACAGGCGGACTCCTAGGTAAAGGTGCAGCTTTTCTTGGGGCTATGGGACCCAGGTCAAGAAGTACTTCAATACTGGAGCTCACTACCCACCTCAGCCATTTACTTCTCTTCCAACAAAAGATGGCAATTACTGAAACTGAATCATAGTGCTTCTCCAGGGCAGTATAAAATGGGGGGAAGGAGGAGGAGGAAACCAATAGCTTTTTCTCCTTTAGGCTTATGCTTATGTTAATGAAATACCTAGAGTGGAACATTCTAGCTGATACTCATACAACCTTTTATACGCTTAAGATTCTTTCTGAATTCTGTCTTGGCATAAAAGGAAAATCAAAACAAAAACAAAACCAAGAAAAAGCAGTCCTTCTTAAGAATTTCCACCAAAGTAGCCTCAATCATAGAGAACAATGCACTTCTAGGGTGTATGAGGCCCCAAAGCAGCTCTCCACAAGATGGAAATTTCTTTGAAAGCTTTTGTTTTATCTTGAAAAGTTATAAGAATTTTGCATTCTACTCCATATGTCTGAGAAACATAAACCATTTTTAAAACAGAGGCTGCCAATCTTATGTTTTTTCTTTGGGTTTAAAAAAAAAATCAACAGACAAGGCATAATGATTAGATCTTATTGCAGTATGTCAGATAATGTATCCTTCTAAAAAATGATCACAGAGATCTTGTTGCGATTATGTTCTATCAATACAAACACTTAGTACTATTTCCTACTTTTCCCATTTCTCTTGTTCCTAGTGAAATATAAACATTAACAGTTGACTTCACATTGTTGTACTTCTAAGTCACTGACAGTATTTAAAAAAATATGGGGAATGGAGGCAGAGGTTCAGGAAGTGTTGGAGAACAATTCTTGAACTTCTTGGTTTTCCTATAGGGCAATCATTTAGCAGAACATGACTAATTTAATTGACTACAATTAGGATCCTGTAGTAAATCAGTTTCTATCACTGGCCACCATGCTTCCTCTTAGCATTTTGACTAAGAAATGCTTTTTAAACTTTAAATTTATACCAGTAAGTGAGCGATTTCTCAGAATCCCATTTTTATCCTTTGGACACCCCTATGGAGAGGCCTGGAGAAGTTTCCATTTCTTCCAGCAAGTGACAAACCAGAACCACAACTCAGGTCTTTTTATGCAGAAGCCACAGGATCAGATGGCTTTTGTTACACTGAATCAGGATGGCACAGCGCTTAAGAGCAGGGCCTATGGAATCAAACACCCAGACTTGAATTCCAGATTTTGTTAAATGATCTTAAACAAGTTATTTGACCTTTTGAGATTCAGTTTCCTTATGTGCAGAGATTAGTAATAGGACCTTTGTCACAGGGCTATTATGAGTATTAAATGAGTTAGTAACTCTAAGATATTAAGCCGACACAATTGAATGCTCAGTCACAGGCACCTACTATACTATTTCATGATCTTTTCTATATAATAAGTGTAGTCCTAAAACTTTATGTAGACAAAGTCTTTCTTTAATTGCAGATGGGATGTTTACAGATAAAGGAATCTTAGTGTGACTCTTCCCACACTGTACATAACAATGCTAATTTATTTTCTGTAAAAATCCAGATTTTTAAATATATTATGTTCTGCAAGATCAAGCTATATGCAGTTTGATTCATTAAACATTAATTGATCTGCAAGTGCAAGGCTATGCTAACCATTAGGGGATAAAAGATAAATAAAATGCAATTCCTGGCTCAGGGGACCTCATAATTAGTAGAGAAGCTAAGATAATTGTTCTAATCTGAACTGGTGCTCTACGGGAGGTTTAGAAAGAGAATATGAGCACAGAAGAGGGAGTGACTGGAATTGCTGGACATCAGAGCAGGTTCTAAGACAGTGAGCCCTGGACTTGGGATTTGAAGGGTTTGCTTTTACTCTCTGTGTGTGTGTGTGTGTGTGTGTGTGTGTGTGTGTGTACATGTGTGTCTTAGAAGGGACAGGAGCCACTATAGTGTCTTAGAAGGGACAGGAAATGCCAGGAAAGGAAGAAAGAAAGGGGCACATGGAAGGAATAACATCGGCAAATGTAAAATGTTTGGGGCACGAAACTATGATGTATTTAGAAAAAGGCATGGAGATGGAGACTCAGAGACGAGGCTAGAAATGAGGGTGAAGAAGAGAGTAAGATGAAGCTTGAATGCCACGCTGGCCAATTTCTGTGGACAGTGTGCACAACGAACAAATTTTGAAATAAGGAAAGAAATTATTACAACAATATTTAATAAGATAACCTTGGATGGCCTAGAGGGCATGAAGACTGGTGGGAGGAGAGAGGAGAAAATCAGGAGCTTCTTCCAATAAGAAATAGATGCGAGGACGTGAACTGGCTGTGGCAATGAAATAAAAAAGCCAAACTGAATACTCTGTGGGCTTAGACAATATGTGTGCTCTGCTCACCTCATGAGGCTGGATAGAGAAAATCTGTACACGGAGCTGGTTCTGGCTCAGGGAACCCCTGCCACTTGCTTGGAATGATTTAGGCCAACTCTTAGGTCACCAGGAATGCATGAGGAGGAACAGGGTAGAGTGTGCTGCTGCAGCTCAGCTTCTGCATGTTGGAAGGAGAATGCTCAGGGTATTGAGAGGGGACCACGGATGATGATGGCTAACATTTACTGAGCACTTATTATTTGACAAGCATCATTCTTTTAAGCCATATATATGTGCCTCAATCACCCATATTTGGTAGATACTATTATTTTGTCCATTTTAAAGATAAGGAAATGGAGGCACAGAAAGGCTAAATAATTTGCTCAAGATCAAGCAATTAAAACGTAAGCAGTAAAGCAGAAATTTGAAGCCAGGCAGTCTAATTACAGAGTCTGCACTCTCAAGCACAAACATAAAATATAGGAAGAAACAAAAAATCTTAATCTAATCCACGCTCAAGGCCAGCCTGGTTTTATTGATCCACAGTGATCCAGGTTGGGAGGTTTTGAATTTTCCCTAAGAGCAAGGTTCTTTGAGATTCTGAGGGGCCTATGAAGACCATCCAGCATCCAGAAGTCCTGCCAAGACTTCTCCCGCAGGTCTTCTGAGAGTACAGGAACAACACTAACTCCATCCACTGGGAGAAGGTCACTTTCAGGGGAAACTGAGACCTAGTCAATCTTTTTGAAAAATCAGGAAAACAGAAATGACAGTTCCTCTGAGGTCTCCACAGGCAGTGGTGACAGAAACAAACCTCTGAGTGAATTAAAATCTTTCGGTCCTTTCTGGTTAGCAAGACTGGAAATAGAACTTAACAACAGAGCGAGTGAAGGTTACAAAGTCTTTAAAGAGTTTCTAAGTTAAGAGTAATGACCTTCAGTATGATTTAACAGCCTCCCTTCTTCCACGTCATAAACTTTTTT